GGGGGGGGGGGGTTGCTAGGAATCCTGAGTAGTGGGTAGTGTAGGGTGGTGGCTATAAAAGTCCTGACTGGGTGAACCAGGTCCTTGGGGCCCCAGGTGCTCACCTGAGACCCAGCAGAACAAAGAAGATAAGGTGAGCAGCAGAAGGCCTTTCATGGTGAGGGTCCTGAGAATGGTAGCAACTGCAGCAGCTGACAGGGTAGATTTCTGGGGATCCAGCTCTGAGAGTTGAGTGGCTATTTTGCAATTTATACTCCCAACAGTCCCTCCCTTCCCTGCCTCTGGTGGCCCCTCCTTCCCCATTTATGCAAGCTCAGTGAGGAAGAGACCAGGGGTGGGGAGGGGCTAAACAGGACTGGGGAGCAGAGTGGAGATGGGAGAGAGAGGTGAGGGAGGCGAGGAGGGATTGCGGTGGGAGTGTAGGTGAGACATTTAGGTTCTTGGTTTCAGACCAAGATATTCTTACTGGCCTCCAGCCAACAGCCCTGCTTGCCCAGTCCTCTGTCCTCTGAAGAAGCATCGCCAAAGGCCCCTGTGATGTTACAGTGGCCGTGGTGGTAGCAACTGGCGGTTCCCGGGAAATGGACAATGGGTGTGGCCCAAGATGACTGCCCTGGGGGCATTGGTAGAGCATGTGGGCAGAGATTTTGGATGGAAAGAGCCAAATTAATCTCAATTCAGCTCCCATTTGGTCTTCCCACCAACCACTGCTCAGCCACAGGATAGGGAGTAGGGTTTGTGATGTCACCAAGGGCCTCTGTGATGGGCGTGTGCTGGGGCTGCCTGCTAAGAAGGGGATGCCTCAAGTCCCCCAAAGGTTCTCAGGACCCAGGCTCCACTTGGGCTTGGCCTCGGCTGCACCAGTCCAGTGAAGGCCACTGAAGTCCTGGGTGCGGGGCATGTGCATCTACTCCAAAGCGCCTCCCCAATCAAAACCTGCGGGTTTGGGAGGCAGGGTGGCTGGGAGGGACAGCGTGGGCACAGCGGCGTGAGCTAGAAGCTAAAACAAGACTAGATAGTGATGATAACAGCAAGTACTTCGTGTTCCTATGCGTCAGCCATTGTTCTAGGCGTTTTAGGTGTGTGCATTGAGTTCTCACAATCCTCTACAACCTGGTGCTTTTGTAGGTGAGCCAACGGGCCCAGCGAAGTTAAGCCACGCGCCACGGCACGCAGCTAGTCGATGGCGAAGTGGGGGTTTGACCCCAGCTGGGGTCCAGAATTCGGGATGCTCACAGCCGCCGCGCTGCAGGTGTGCAAACACGCGAAAACGCGGTGGAAACGCCCGAGCGCGATGTTCAGGGAGCGTTAGGTGAGGCCTGCGGCTCGACGGCCGGCGTCGCGGGCGGGAT